CTGCAAAGTTTCCTGAGCTGGTGGGTGTTCAAATCCTTGTGCCGGGCTGCGGAAGGAGCCGCTGAAGGAGCGCGCTGGTTTCTCCCCCGAATGTGTTTTCCCAGCAGCCTGGTGACGGGCCTGACATGCCGGCTCCCGTGCATGCTCCCGCGCTTGGGGAGCGCAGCATTAATAACACACTTCCATGCATCATGCCATTTTTAAGCATGATCGTTATGATAAAGGGCATATACTTAATTACAGGCCTGCTTAATTACAGCTCTGTTGAAGCTCGTTTGTTTAGGAGAGTGCTAATTGCGCTGCTGAGCCTTTGGCACACCCTGCTTTCATCTGCTGCTTTGCTCTGCAGTTTTGAGCTCCGGGAGGGCTGGCATGCGCGAGGACCGACGGGCGGATGGAGGCAGTCCGGCGGGGGCTGCCGGGGGAACGGGCGCGCTCCTCGCGGCTTATTCTTTAAATTGCTTTACAAAAGCCGGCGTGTGCCTGATCAAAGCAGGTTTCTGTCGGGATAACGAATGCAGATGGTCTTTCAGGTTCAAAACTTCCTGCGTTCGGTGATGCTGCTTTTCATCTGTTTCCTTTTGTTTCATGCAGCACCGTGGCTGCCACATAGCACGTCTGATAACGAAAGGACTCCAGGGGAGGGGGGGTAACTCAAAAGTATGCAACGCAAATGTGAAATGCTAAGTGTTCTTAAATAACCCTTGTTAAATCACTAACGTGGTGACTCACTAGTGCTGATGGGAGTTACAAACGGCAAGCAGAGCAACGCCGGCTTCGTGGGTGCAGATGCTTTGTGAAAGAAAACCCAATTTGGGGATTACTTCAGGGCATTTCAGGGCTTAAATTTGCTCTAGTTTGAAGTTTTTATTTCTTTCAGAGCTGAAATTTAAAGACTTAAAATGTTAAGGGTGTAATGGAACTGAAGCGGGTGTATTTCGGGCTGCCCTCTGCCGTAGAAATGGGCCCTTTTCAGTCTTGTGTGGAAATTGCCGTTACACGTTTGAACGTCAGGGTCCTCCTTGGACTGACACGTCGTGTGGGAGGCTCCCGTGGGGTTGCCCAGGTGGTGACAGCAAGGCAGAAGCACTGGGCATCGTTGCAATACACAAGACCATATAAAGGCAAAGACTGCTCTCAGTATCGTTAAGGCTGAGCTGCAGAGAGAGCTTGGCCCAGTGGCACGGGGCTGTGCCGCCATGTCCTTGGGTCTGTCCTCACACTCCACTGCTTTCCGTCCTCCAGGTGCGGTTCTCAAGCGCCTGAGCTCCGTTGCTCGCTGGAGCTCGCGCGGGCAGCGGCCGGGCCGGGGCGGGCGCTTGGCCCCAGGTCGTTGTTGTCGCCCTGCCCTGGGAGCAGCTCTTACCGCTGGGGGAGGCACGGGTCGCCTGAACCCGGGGCGTTCCCCATCCTCTCGCTCAGACACCACCGGGTCCGCTCAGGTGGTTCTGTGCGGCAGCGGTAAATAGATGTCTGTCCTCCGATAGTGTTTGTGTTTGTTTTCAGTTTCAAATACCGTCCTGTTTTGGCAGCTCAACCAAACTGGAAGACTCAGAATTGAGACCATGAAATTGTATATGGGTAGAGCGGGGAGGGTTCGTTGAGCTCCTGATTTGGTAGGGACAAACCCAGCTGTGTCTGGGACAGAGAGAAACCCCTGGCAGGTCAGAGGGAGGAAAGCGCTGGCAATAGCTTCTAGGAGCTATCAGTCCTGTGTCAGCGCCATGGGTACGCCACCCGTCCCTGGGACTGTGAGAAGTTGCATGTCAGCAGTCAGCTTGGAAATGTGACATGTCTGCTCGTTTTGTCCCTTTCAGCGATGGACGGAGTGCCTTTCATGATTTCAGAGAAGTTCGCCTGCGCTCCGGAAGGGGTGAGTTGCCTTTGGTTTTCTCCCAGTGTCTGAAATTCATTTTTTTGTGGGGAGCGATCACAAAGCATCAACACAAATTACCTGGGGGCTTTGCTTTTGTGGGGCCCAATATATACCCAGGGCTTGGGACGACCCGGTACTTTCCCATTGGGCGGGAATGGCTTTTGCCAGATCACTTCTAGAGCTGAATTCTCCCGGGAGGCGGAGCTTTATCGCCATCAGAAATAGGGATGGCAGTGGGGCTCCCTGGTGCTGGACGCATTTCTCATTTCTTAGCATAGATTGTAGAGAAAGCTGCAAACGTACAGCTCCCCTGGATTTAACCCGCCGTGGAGATGGCGCAGTGCAGTCGGCTTCACAGCTTTGCTTTCGTGCCCCGGGAGTTGAGGCAACGGTAACG